CTTTTGTTTTAATTATTGCAGTACTGTGTACTAGTTTTAATCATGGTCCTTCGAGCCTCACTGAAAGGCACTAGTGGTGAAACAAAAACCACAATAAACAAATAAATATAAACTGTGCGGTGGGACAAAAAAGTGCAGTGACATCAACAAGGAAGTACATATGTATGCACATAGACAAATTTACACCTAATGGTACAAAAAGCGTGGTGATTAAAAAAAAAAAAAAGAAAACTTAAAAAAGAAAACAAATTAAAATAGACTTATATGTAAAACAAAAAGGTGAAGTGAACAACACAAAAACCAAATAAGACATAAATTTTTACGAAATTTGAGATCACCGAAAAGAGTGCGCTAAAGTACAAAAAACAAAAACCAGGAAACCAAAATAAACAAACAGCATAATAGTGCAAGTCTATATATACACATATGTATGTATATCAAAAATATGGACAAAATTCCCACTTTAATTAAAAACACTACGCTAAAAACAACACATAAACCGGGCGTGAAATCGCGAAACTAAAAATACATACATACCAACAAATTAAACGCGCGCGAATCTAAAACAACATAAAATAAACAAAACAACAAAGTAACAGGTCCAATCAACTGGAAGAAGCGGAGGAACAAAATTGGCGGGAGAGACATATATACGTACATTACAAGCTCACTTTACATACAAAAAGAATACCAAGTGATGTGTGGAATTCAATGCTCGCGACAGACTGTAAACGACATCTGTCAAATATTAAAATACACACGTTCTTGTGGACGGACTTATTTTGACAGGTGCACGACTACACGGCGGCAGGCCGGCAGTTGTCGTTCTCGCTAACTTCAATTTGATCCTATATTTGCCAACGACAGTAGGACGACAGTAGAGTTGACAGTAGAATGGAAGATAGAGAGATGAGGTAGAGTGGTGATGCCACTAATATGTAAAATGTAATATTACTCAAAGCTCTAACAAATCCGACGTCATTTTACAAATAAAAGGATAAAGGAGCTCTGTTACGTCATTTATAATAACAATTGATAATTTAAAACAAATAAATTTACCTATTTACTTATAGTTTGCTTAAAAATTTCACTTTAAACAAAATATTAAAATTTCATTGAAGTGCAAGGTATTAGTATGGCCACAATGAAATTGTCTACATGCAAAATGGAGAGCTGTGTTGTTTTGTGTACATGCCGGTCATTGTTATGTTGCTGCCTTCTCACAAACGTTCATGTAGTAGGATTCACAACGCCATTTCCAGTTCACTGTCGTGATGCTGCAGTCTGTCGCGAGCATTGTGTTCCTCTCTCTTTTAATATACATATAATACACACATGAATACAATACCTTATTATTCGATGCGTACTAAACTTCGTGTATTGAATCACACTTATTAACAAACAAAAAAAAAACAATTCAAATATTTACTTGTCTTGCCTTATAAATATATTTGTACATATAATCATACGGCAAAGAATCTGCCTGTGAAACTAAACATAAATATCAATATATTACATATTAACACATAATAGTACAAAAACATATTCAAAGTCCACATTGGCAACTATCCGGTAATACCCCTTGGCAAAAAAAACAAGCAGGATTACATGCAAAAAAACGTATTGATCTCTCTAACGAGCTCTCAATTGCTTAAAAATTTAAAACTAATAAAATAAATAAAATATAAAACTAATCATAAGCACACAAACAATTTGTGCATCCTTATGTAAAAAGCATTGATCACTTCAACGAGCTCTCAATCGCACAAACATAAGTACCTACATACGCATGTACAAGTACGCGTATTAGGGTGTGCCTAATTACACAACGTAAGGATATAAGAAATATAACTTAATTAAAGCAAAAACCAAATTTAAAATAAAATTAATTCTGTCGCAAGTAAATAAAAAAAAATGCTATTAAAACTAACATTTTTTGTAAAATAATCGAAATTCAAAACTCTATTTACCTAACAGACTATTCGGTTTCCAGCAATACCCTATCACCTTATTTATATCAATTACACTGAGAGGATAAAAAATTAAAATAAAACCAAAATGGTTAATAACGCAACAAATCAAAATACACCTGTAGGAGCTACACGCTCAAAACAGATAGTTAAATTTATCTCACAAAGTGACGTTTTATTAAGATACTGCGCTAGATTTGCCTCTTCACCGATTCATGAACACTCTAAATCGTTATTAGAAATCAAAAATGGAAATCTTAAGAATTTTGGACTCGTCTCCAAGCGGCTCATGACGCCATAGTAGATTCTGACGATTCAGATATACACAATTTCAAATTCTCGGCTTCCGCACTATACGAAAACTGCTTAGACCAGTTCGAAGAAATACAAGCTATGATATCCGATCAACTAAAGCTAATTAAAGCAATTGCACCTACTCCCCAAATAGAGTAGAACTGCCACAAATAGACAGTTAAAAGGCAAGTTCCGGCATCCACAGGATGGCGCCATGTGACACAGAAAGATTCTATGGAGGTTATGAAAAATGGCCGTCCTTCCGGAACATGTTTACAGCCGTTTACATCAACCATCCAGAACTATCAAAAGCACAGAAATTGTATCACCTCCGATACAAGACAAAAGGTCAAGTAGGCGTCATAGTAAAACAGTTCGCATTAAACGACGACAACTGCTCTGAAAGCAAGATATGAAAACAAAGAAATACTGGTCGATAAACAAGTAACGACACTAATAAACTTGCCAAAAATTAAGAAAGAAACGAGTGTAGAATTCATAATTCATCAAACTAGAATCCTCTGTTTCTAATTGTTTGTCGGTTCTATCGACACTGGATATCCCCACAGACAGCTGGGACCCTATTCTGGTAAACATATGTACCGCAGCATTACCAGAAAAGTCGTTACTTCTATGGGAGCAATCGCTCTCATCACGAAAAAAGTGTCCAACGTGGCAACAAATGAAAGATTTTCTCACCACCCAATATAAAATTGCGGAAAGGTTAGAAGAAAAAATAATCAAAACTAAGAATATTAAACACGACCCAAATAGAAGCTTAAATAGACCCCAAGCTAGAAGCAAAAACAAATCAAATAGAAATTTTAACAAAATAAAAGCGTTCACATTGGAACAGAAAAAACAAGCGTCATGCGAATTATGCACAAGAGGGCATAAACTTAAATCTTGCGAGGTTTAAAAACTTAACAGTTAACGAACGAAATAATTTTGTCAGGTCAAAAAGATCTGCACATGCGCATACATATAAAAATTGCAAAAGCAAATTTAATTGCTTACATTGTCACTCTAGAGGACCAGTGTTGTAAGCGCTACTCGAAAGCCGCAACAATTCGATCAAATAATGGCCGGTACGTCGTACGACAACCACTAGCGCCACAATTTTCGAATACCTCACATAATGGTATAAAAAACAAAGTCAGATTTACCTCTGACAGTCCATATATTAAAAGAATATACAAATTTTCGGCCAAAACAAAAAAAACTATTACTACTACTTGCCAAATTAGTAATAATACAAGATGGGACACCCCAAACTTAACGTTAAGGGATCAGCAATTTCCAAATGCGATACAGTGACGCCCCTACACTATCAAAAGTCAATGGTCCTTCTTATCGCATCTATTCAAGCGCGCCCCATATTAGTAGGTTAAGGGAATCAGCTGCGTAAAGCTTCAAATTAATTATGAAGAATTCTCTTCTCTACGAATACAATCCGTTCTCTTCTCTAAATCATAGTCCTAAATCTAGGGCCAAGGAGTACCCATTATGGCCACATCTGAGCCAGACGTGGTTACTAGCCTTTATAAGCTGATAACGCAGAAAAGGTATTATTTGCCTTTGTTTAACAAGCCGATGGTAAAGAAATTTGAAATAAGAACACAAACCTTAACCTATCAAAGAAACAACCGCAAATATAATAACTATGAAAAGCAGTTACAAACTCATAAATCCGTAAAATACAGTTTCTTATTGTACGTACGTAAAACCAAAAATATGTAAATACCAAATATAATCTTTAAAACCAAAGGCATTTCCAAGTTTTACAGCATATATTCTGTACCCTCGGCAACTATACCAGCATTACGCTGAAATATATGCAACAGCATATACATACGCAGTACCAGGCAAAATATTCGCCTAGCAGGTCCAGGATGTTTAAATGAGTTAAGCATCCACCCACTCTACTCGGGAAAAACTGGCGCACTCTAATAAGCCAGATTAGTTCACCACAGCTGAGAACACCACAACACAATTCACCATGCCTATACACAAACGAAGTTATTAAAAAGGATGGAAAACGAGAAAGCAGACATATTTTTGTTACACATCTTAAAAACATTCGCTTTCAACATTCATCTTATGCTTTCGAATAGAAAGGTCGACCACTCGGATGTTGTTCGCTGACCTTCTTTTTTTATATATTCGTTTTCCGCAACAACAACTCGACCACGATCTGCATCAACTCGAACGCCAACGCCGGCAAGTTGGAATTGGATTCTCGCCGCCCTACTCGTCGACATTTAATTTTAATTAACTTCATCATTTACTATTTCGTTTATTAATTGATTAAATGATATTGTGAAAAAGCAAACAAAATTAATTTTGTTTTAATTATTGCAGTACTGTGTACTAGTTTTAATCAAATGTTATCAATTTACAATATTTTTCCATATGATTCTATTAATTTTACTAAACCAAGGAAGTCCCCTCGTACAAGAGTATAAAAAACAATAATATAGGCAAAATTTATTAAATGTGTAGATGTGTATTCTACCAAAGCTTACACCCAGTTTAGCTGCTCAAAAGATATGACTTTACATTATGTAATAACAGTGAAACACGTAAATTTTAACCGAAAATTGCAAATTTTTTAACTAAAAGTGTTCACAAAAATTTGGCAAGGATTTCGAAAATACATTTTGCATTATGTTGTCTAGAAGGCAAAGTATTCAATTTGATACTACATGTTAATTCCTTCATTCAATTGTTTTTCAGAATTAAATGATATGAAATATCAACGTTTATTTTACTACAATGAGCAGTAACAACTTGCAGCAATGGTGGGAATATACTTATCGCCATCATCAGCTGAAACATGCTTTCAATCCTCACGATATGCACGGTCTCCAGATACCTCCACTTATCACAAAGGACACTCGTTCAGATATATTAAAGCAGATCGGTAACAATGATTATGGCTCCTTTTTAAATTACACTATAACAGACTCTCCGATTGACATTCCTGACTCAGAAGATAACCTCTTATCTTCAGCTACGTTGTTAATTATGGTCGTACTATTTGGACTAGTTGTATTTGGTGGCGTATTAGGTAATACAACATTATTGTTCACGCTTTGTTCGGCATCATCAGTGCGATTGCGAAATCCGCTTTTATTAGCTGTTTGCCTTGCCGACTTGTTAGTTACGGGCATTTCTGCACCAATGACTTTATTAAATGTAGCCCTGAATCGTAAGACGAACACTTTACCACTGATAATATGCAAAGTAATTCATTATGTGCAGGCAAGTATACAGATCTTGTTGTAATATAAATTTTGATTATCAAAATTTTACGCTAGTATTACTTTACAGATAATGCCAGTGGCTGCAAGTACAATTTCTTTCTTCATGCTGTCACTTGATCGTTATGCCACAGTAAGACACCCATGTTTGTCACAGTTACGTCAGCGTCGATATTTGCATATTTCATTAGCGCTCTTTTCTTGGATCGCATCAGCTGTTCTCTGCGCGCCATTTCTCTACACATACAACATAATTGCGAAAAGTGCAATAACAAGTCTCGATGACAGCAACAAATATGCAACATCGTCTGAAATTTTGCTAGGGACCAATGAAAATGCTAAACTGGGACCGTTTTTGCTTACCACCACAGCTTTACCAAACGTCAGAATAAGCTGTACTTCCGACCTCGGGTCCAATACATTTTTAATTTCATTTATTATTTTTCATACTTTTGCCGTATTTATTATACCCGGATGTGGTGTGCTATTAAACCATTACGGTGTACGCCAGAAGTTATGTGCACTTTCTTTAACAGCGCGCGCGGCTCACGGTGAATTACCACTACCTATGCCCATACTCCGTAGACAAACGCACATGGTTATTGTAACTGGGATCGCCAACGCTCAGCAGACAACCGGATGTCCGGTCACAAATAACCCCTCTAATGGACCTGATATACAAATGCAAAACTTAAATCCAGGTTCCATTATCGGAAAAAGTCATGATTTCATCAAATCCTCCAACCCCATATCACCAAGGTATATTATATGTTATTTAAATAGCCAGATATACTTACACAAGTATTTGTAAGGTTACAGTGTTTTTTCTTTGCCCTAAATATAAGATATTTATGAAACTATCAATGGTTTTGTAAGATTTGCTCACGTTTTTTTTTTAAATCTTTCACCATTCCGATTTTACACTAGAAAAATAAAAAAATTGGAAAGAAAATAACAGTTATATTTAATATGTCAGTTATGTTTTAAAAAAGTTATATTTTAAAAAATAAGACATTTAAGTAAACAGAAAGAAAAATATCAAAAATATGTTTTATATTTAAGTAAACGWTTTTTATGAGATTTTATATTATAATTTCCCAGGTGATAATGTCTTTTTAAGGAAAAACAGTAACCTCCCATCACTTTATGATCCTGATTGAACCGATTTTTCTTATTATAATTTTCATATTAAATCGAAAATGTATATGCTATAGACGTTTAGGGGTACTAAAACTTCTGTTATAAGAAATAGTAACAAAAAAATACTTGTTGTTACCAAGAGCGTTGAAATCAAATGAATATTGCTGTAGTTACAGAAAAAGTAGGGTCTGAAACTATAATTTATCAAATGAAATTGGCTTACGACTTTTCTAATACATGTTCCATCAGGAAAATGATTTCTAATTCCTTCAAATAATTTAAAAATGTTTGAGACAGTCTTATCAAGATAGTCCTATCAACATATCATTGTTGAATGAATTAAAGTTCAATTGAAATATTTTTATGTAAAATAAATTTTCAATTAAACACAACCGTAAAATTGGCACATACATACATTTTTTTGGAAGAAATACATATATTTCTTATTCTTACTCTGAGTTATTTCTGACTGCTTTTCGATTAAGAGGTTGTATACAATTATTCTCTGAATAAAATCGGTTTTTTTACATTTTACAGTCCTCAGATCTCTATGAAATTTGTGCGAAATAATCTTAAAAGGATATACTTTAAGAAAATGCAATAAAAAATGTCGATTTTTCCAACCCACACAAGTGTATATAACCCCTTCAAGTTTGGTAGTGGTAGACCTTGATATTATTGCCAAGAGTATTCCGTACTACATGTCATTGGACACACACAAGAACATAATATTGCCCTGCCAAAAATTTCTTGTTTTTAGTTTATTGAAACCTGAGGGGGACAAAAGTTTTAACCTACTAATATTTAATATCAAAATACTGCTATCGTCCGTTCAAGGTGTAACTTGAGTAAAATTTGAGATATTGATGAAACTCGGTACGTGGGTTTCTTAGTACAAAAAAATTACGAGTTCGTAGATTGCCATAATCGGACGGACCGCTGGCACACCCACTAATCTCTATTAACCGAAAACCAATAGTCATCCATAACTAAGCACTAGATTCAGATATAGAACTCGTGCCATTTTCCTCTTGTTCCTATGTTCGCTGTGTGAATGGACGAAATCGGACTACAATCACGCCTACTTCCCATATAACACAATTTTAAATTCCATTTGATTCCAGTATTCAAATTTAATAAATCTATTTTTGAGGCTTGAGGGACAGATTTTTAGCATGAGGTATGAAATTCTGTCTGCACCGGGAGTCTTGCCTGACATTGAAGAGTGAAATCGAATTCTGGCATGGCTATATCTGATTCGTTAATAGATGGTTTGAGTGATCTTTACTGTACCTACTTCTGAGATATTCATTTCTATTTGATACAAATGAGGCGTGGAAATTTGAGTCGCTCGAATAATCGAACAATATTAATATAACGGGATCAAATTTTACACTAATAAATCTTTTAAAGTATGCCACTTTATGACCAAAATTGTACAATGAAACTATTCAAGCCTCGAATATATATAGTTGACTTTTGACCGAAAATATTAATCAATGTAAGGGATATACAATTGATATGACAATAGTTATTCTGCATGACAAAAATGCGTTGAATCGGATCAATACTTCTCTGAGCCCTCATATACCCAATATAAAGACTTCTGAAGTTCCTGGTGACATAATTTGAGTTATATCAATGAAAATCGAACACCCGGTTGACTTTACTCCATATGATTGATGGACCCAGGGAAATTTTTTTTAGTATGAGACATGACAATAGTTAATAGATAAAATTCGGTCAATACTACCACAACTCCCATATACTACCCGTAATGGTTTTCTTTTTTTTTAACGAGTCTTATATCGGTCAGTGTAGGTGTAGTTTAGTATACATACGTACGTTTTACTCCTTAAGGTATTTCCCTGGCTTTGATTCCTGCAAGTTGCAAAAATATAACAATATCGGTTGTATACGAACTTAATCCTTCCTTACTTGTTTAGAATTCAGTTGGTATAGGAACTATATGCTATAATAGTTCGATATCGCCGTTAGCAACAAATGACAAGCTTCAAATCGATGTCTCAAAAACTGAGGGACAATTTCAAATATTTTTTTTTCAGAAGTAAGAAGAGCTATCAAAATAATATGTTTTTCGTTGCCCCCCATTTGGAAATTGCTCTCTCTTCGGACACTTGCTCGACAAATAGAGCGTATTTGATCCCTGCTTTGAAACATAATTACAAGATGTGAGAACCATGCTTTAGTGATTTATCAAATATATGTACATATATTTATTTTTTGGCTGTATGTCAAATAGGCAATAAAAAAGGAGAGCGGGTATGACATTGTGCCAGTACCTATTCTAGGGGTACGATTTACATGGCTGTAACCTTCCACTCCTATATTTTTTCACATTTTGTTTTTTGAATGACTCTTAAGTGGTATTTCGAAGACGACTGCGATAAGCCTCGACTTTTTATTTCTAAACACTATTACTGTAGATTTTAGTTTATTTGAATGTAGCTTTAAGTTTATTTGAACAAGAAAATGTATTTTATTTAAAAGTGAACGAAAAATTCAAAAAGTAACAAGGCTTCTTTTTACTGCTCGATCAGTCGCGCTCGCCGTCTCGTCTACTACTCGTCGTCCTCAATTCAGTGAGATGATGCAACAGCTCGCTCATGATAGAGTTGCCATCCCACATTACTACAACCGGGGTCTCGCAACTTTGAAATAATTGTTGTCTGTACGACCTTTTGATTATCTGTGATTTGCTAAAATATTTTTATACTCACGCTTAGTATTACAATTGTGTTTCCCTAACGGTTGTTTGTCTCACCTAAAACTATTCGAGTTATATTATATGTATATGGAGACATCTATTTATAAATGATCAGGATGACGAGGAGAGAAATATTCCTGTCTGTCCATCCGTCCGTTCAAACGATTACTCGAGCAAAAATTTAATTATCCTAACAAAATTTAGTACACACGTTCCTTGTTTCCTAAAGAGATTTGGTATTGCAGATAAACGGAATAGGATCATTGATACGTCTACAAAATGCTGTTGAGTGAAAACATATACTCGTAAAAGCCTGTAACTAAGGATCATATTGAGATACTAACCCGTTTTCGGTACAAGATACGACAGTGGAAAGGGAAAACTGTGGTCTGAGAATATTTGAAATATCAGCGTGGCCCCGCTTTCCAATCCGTATAATGGGCATTTCGCACAAACCGCTATTGTTATTTCAAGAAAATACATACTTAATATAAATATTTTTGAACTTCCAGTCGACTTTATATCTAGGCTGTTCACGATAAGGTGGTTATCGGGTTATGTGGTTATGTGATTAAGTAAACAACAACAAAATGCGGTATGACAAAATAACCAACTTTGACCAACCCAGACCCTTGTTTACAGATTATGTGGTTGTTTGCTTATTTCCAGTGTTAGAAAGTCGTTGGAGTTTTACTAAATGGCAGCACAAAAAATAAATAAAACAAAGCGAATGGCAATTACATGTATATTTTCTAATTGGAAATTCTGCTATGAACAGCTGTTGTTTGTTTACAATTGCATTGTGACACTGTTCAGKGYGCAAGATGTCTGCAAATTTTATACAAAGAATCTTTTGAACTCTTAAAATTTGGATTATTTAWTAAGCACATACCTTCAATAAAGTCCATTTCCTGAATAGCAGAACTTATTTTAAATTCAATTATGTTACTTTTTAAACTTTGTTTAGGCATTTTATAAGTAGRAATTTCATTGAACTTAAAATGTAWRCAAYRAACAGCTGTTTGTGTAAAAATAAGCATATAACCATACAATATGGGATGTTCACGGATCATAGAGGTTGTTTTTAATCTAATAACCACATAACCCGATAACCACCGTGAACAGCCTAATCGTGTATTATATTTTGATTAAAATGGTTTTCATCCATTTTTCTTTTCCATCTGAATTGAAACCGCTTATTTTGGCAAAATTTTTCACTTTATCAATTGAAAGGTTTCGATTTTTTATATAATATACAGAACTAAATAAATTTTAAATTTTATTGTAAACTTTTCATTTTCTTTGTATAATGAATGTTGAATTCTGTCGCAACGTTTGATATAATAGAATTTCATCTGCCGATTTTTCGTATCACGTAACACTTATCCACGTAGATATTGGGTTATGCCAAAACAAAAAAAAAAAAAAAAAAAAAACCAAATGACGCCACTAATCGAAAACACATAAAGTGTTATATTAATCTCCACATTAAGACACAAAAATATAGTTTGGTGCAAGGGATTACAATGTTAAAGGGTAACAGTGGTTTGAATATGTTTAAAAAGTTGGTGATCTCTAATTAGTTGAATTTATTATATAAATTTCCCAAGTAACTTTAGATAAATCAGTTAAACTTGCTCAGAATAAATTTTTTTAGCATCTCCCCATATAACGGGTTTGATGAAAACTACTAAAAGTGAGATAACTCGGCAAATAAAACGTGAGTGACACTATTACACTATAAGATAATGGTCGTGGCATTATTTTGACATTCCGATATGAAATTTTCTGTTTGCTTCTTAAATTAAGAATATAAAATAAAAATAAATTGATTTTATGAAAATTCTAAACATACATATATAACCCCTTAATATAAAGTTGTAATTAATAGTTTGTTATCAAATTGTAAAAATATAAAATATTTGGTTACACCCGAACATCCTTCCTTACTTCTTAAATAAAAAGTTTTGCAAGACTTTGTTCCCTCATTTAACCATTGCAATTTTCAAGAGTGTAAAATGTTCGTTTCTACCTGAATGTTAAAAATTTATATTTAACAAGGTACATAGTTGTAAAGTACTAAGAATGGAAATAAGAAATTATAATATTGCGTAATGTCGTAATTTCTTTTACAAGATAAAAAAAGTAACAGGACTGAGTCGATTTAAAAAAATTTATTGAACAAATCGTTACAATTCTTTAAAAACTACACTTTTCACCGCTGGCTTTTTCATCATCAATTAACTGAGGATGGTGTTGTCATTGAGGCGTTCAAGGACGCCTCTGATGACGACGATCAGGTCTTTGTTCTGATGGAGCTGGTTAGTTGTGTAAGGCACGTCGTGCCTTTCCAGCACATATGTTCTTTGGCGAAACCTGTAAACGGTTTCGAGGTAAACCAAGAGGGCTTCAGAGAACGGCGGATCTGACACCTATATGTGCAGACCGGTGCTTACCTTCTCCCTCGATTCCTTTCGATGAACGCGATGTCATCGGTTTAGTCAATGCTCATTTGAGCATTTTCGGAAGAGGGGGAAGTTGAGGGAGAAAAAGAGGTAGTAGCGTAGTTCGCGTTCGGCGAACCTTGCTCAGAATGCTCAGGTAGGAGGGATTTGGAGTTGTTACAACAATTTCAATAAATTGTCAGTAGTCACTGCACTGTTCACAGCACTATTCACTGCACTGTACTCTTTACTGCTTTGTTATAATTTGCAGGTATGCATCAACATGCTAACAGACGGCTTTGCTAAGCTATTTTAATTGTGGTTTTAGCTCTGCTACTACCTAAAACCCTTGTACGGTGAGCGAACAGCAAAATTTTCCTCTTGGTGCAACGGCACAACAACAAACACAAGCAGAAAGTTATTTGCAATGGCTTGAAAGTATGTCAGACCAAAACACTTGTTTATTTTCGACACGTAAAAAAAAATTGCAACCCTGTGCTAGTTGTCAGTTTACTTAAGTACATATTTTGACGTTAAATTGTTGGGGAAGGTAAATTTTAAATATATTTTATATTTAAATTATAAAGATTTGTTACAGTTTTTTTTTTTTTTTTTTTGTTGTTATGACTGAATGCAAAAGGTGCGCGAGTTCAAAATAGTCATTTACAATAAATTGACCGAATCAGCCGTTCGTATATCACTACATTGCAATGAATGCTCTCGTGCCCTTGCATATTTCGGTATAGGATTTCTGCAAACTGCAATCTTGCAAGAGCAAGAGAATCAACCTACTATACTCTGTGTGTGTGGCTGATTAACTTATTACATGGTTCTTAATTTTATTTATACTAACTAGTATGTTTACTTATTACTTTACTATTGTTAATTTGTTTAGATATAATATATTTTTTCTTTATCTACATAAATCCTAGTGTTACTTATACAATTGATATGTTCGTTGTTTACTAGTATATAACTATTTGGGTTGTTATTGTTTGTTGTACTGTTAGTGCACTTATATTTTTAAAAGATAAAGTTGTTTTGATGAATTTTCTTTAATGTTGTTCGGTTTACTGAAACATAAGGTTATTTTGTTGATTGTTTGTTTAGGATATTTTGAAAAGATAATATTATAAGATATACATACGTTTCTTGACTCGCGCACGCTTCGAAGTACAGTTGCTTCGGAAGAAAATCAGTCCTATTACTTTCCGGACAAACCTTGCATATAGTTTTTTATTAGTAGAGTATCTTTGTAAGCAAGTTTTTTTTATTTCAACAACCAGTGCCGGATTAGCCACGTAGCAAGAGTAGCAAATATTACGGGCCCAACTAACCGCAATTAAAAAAAACCGTAATTAAAAAAAATCAATTTAGATGGAGAGTAAGATATCCTTAAATTAATTAAGGAACACGATGGGCAAAGAACGTCTTAATCATCTCACTTTGTTGAATATAGAGCATGACTTGTTTAAAGAAGTCGATATTGCAAGTATTATCTCTAAATTTTACTATAATAAATTCAGAAAACTTTATTTGTAACAATTTTGTTTTATTTAATACCCTAAACTTGAGAACCTATAGCAAACCAAGGGCCCCTTTACAGAATTTGCTATACCCCGTGGTAGTTTAAACCGGCACTGTCAACAACGCATATGCATTTATAATTCTTTTGTTTACATTTTCAGGGCAATGCGTGAAATTCGGGCACATTCCCAACGTCAACGTATTAACCATAAAACATGTTTGCATGGTCCAGCTGCGCCCGGTATACCATTACCACGAACTTCAACTCTCCACTCGAGACGACGTCTAGCCAATATACTCATAGCATCAGCCATAATATTTATTTTATGTTGGGCGCCCCACGTATTTTGCATATTTTACACAAGCTTCGGTTATAAGCATTATTGTTCTAAGACTTCCAAGTACTTTCATTTGCTACTAGGTGAGTATTGACATTTTGCCTGGTTGTCGTAACATCGAATTGAGTGTGAAGAAATCCCAAAAAACATGAACTTGAATTTATTCTTGTTTAAATATCCCTCATATCGAATTCTAGGTAGGGAAATTGATTAGTGGACTATTTGAAAGTACATACATACATATGTACGAATGTCTTAGCAAATTATAATAGAAATCTGAGGTGTGCAAAAATTAACGGGAGTTCTAAAACTTTGTGGGTTTGATATATATAGGTACCTTTCCCTGAAGTACGATAAAATTTTCAGCTGTATTCATTACCTACTTTATCTGTAGCTTATCCTTGATAGAAAATTTTCATGGAAACCGAATATTGAGATGAGATCTAGAAGGGGTTCGGTTGTCTTATATTGATGTAGGGGAGCTATAGAGAAAGGTACCATAGTCAGGAAAATAATAATCTTCGGTGTATTCGTCTGGTAGAAGGCCCTCGAAAAGGCTACACTTACTAAAGAACTTGAGCGTGTCCAAAGAACAGCTCTCATCGTCATCTCCAGTGCACTGTACATTCCACCAACATTATCACTTAATGCCATTTTAAACATAGCACCTGTGGATTTTGCCGGCAAGTGTATGACTGCGAAATGTGCTTTAAGGCTCAGGGAAGCTGGGTACATGAAGGCATCCGAACAAGGACATGCTGAAATTTTCTCTTGCTTCAACTGTGTGTTTTTTTTTGCTCACATACCGACGACGGATATGTGGAGAAGCTATTAAAAACGAGCCGTAGTGAGCTTTCGTAACTGTATGGAGGAGACTGAAGTGGAAAGACCTAAGCATTTTCTTCTCCATTGTCAAGCCTTTGCACGACTGAGGCTGAAACATTTTAATAGTTGTACCGTCAGTAAACCAGAGGACATAGATGAAAGTGGCACTAGCCTTCCCAACAGATGTGTAGGAGGCTCAAAGCGCTCCATAAAAGAGCATGGCTAAATTCATTCAGCCAGTAGCGGATTTACAGATTTGCCGCCTGTAATCTTATCATTTTTGCCTCTAAAATTTGATAAGTACATTATATAAACTACATTTTCTCTCAAATGTTCAAATTTTAAATTTTTATCGCTTAGTTTCTAATTTTGTTCATGTGCCCATAAACCACAATAAATTATTACATTATTTAGAGTGCAATAACCCGTGCCTACTTGCATCGAATCATGTTCGTCATTTGTTCTCAATTATAAAGTGCATAAAGAGCTAGAAAGACTTTTTCTCTGCAAGTTTCGTTAATTCACCTTCAGTGATAATTAGGGCCAGAATTTTTAAAACTTATCAAACCACAGACAGCCTTTGATTCCACCCATCTGCATCACCAACGAATACCCGATATAATGATTTCAAACTATACAGGTCACTTTAAACCTTTTGTGTTAGTTAATATGTGCGAATTTGTTTTGAAATTAGTGAAAATTTTCTTAACACAATGAGGTTTATCGCTGAGTATGATTGAAATTGGGTTCGACCTCTGTTAAAACCTCATATCCCTAATATATGGTAATAATTTACAAGTATTTGGTTGATTTTTTCCTCATATACTCATTAAAAAATACATTAGAACTTGCAAACATTTTTTTTTTAACACTTACGCATTCTTATTATATTCGAATTCTATGCCAATGCGGTCGTCTCAAAATCCTAGCTTTTTGTATTTGAGATTGTTTATGTTGTTCGCATAAGAATGATTAACAAAAATGTAAAAAAAAAACTGTAAAGCAATTTTTCAGCTTGTAGAATAAACGGTTTCTTTTTTGTTCACAAGCAAAAGTAATTGTTTTTCAGTTGTTTCTTTTGACATTTTTCCTTAGACCTAAATATATCAATTTTGATACTCTCTGTTCTCTTTTTACCGACCATGAGTTTTTCAATCGAATATGTTATTGCATTTATTGTGCACGCATTAGAGTCGTGGATACAATGCTAAACGTGATATCTGAAATGGATACGATAAAAAAAATGGAGCTAAAACAGTTTTTAGGACAGATATATGTATGTTACATGTAAATTAATTCCCGTATCGCGGGAATTTGTAAAAAAATATTTTTTCTATCTGCCAACGCGCAGAGAAAATTAAACACGTCGTGTCGACTTGATCGCCGGAGAMAAAATCCCCATTTATTTCCAACTTACTAATATTTATACATTTACTTATTATTTACTTAAAGTTATTACATATTGGCGTTGAGTTTGAAACAAAGAAAGTGTCAATTTACATTAGTATTAGTAGTAGCATTTTTAGGCAGAACGTTAAGTGTTCTGTTTTGATTTTATTATGCCTTCTTGTGAGGGTTACAAATGAATAAAGATTCGATATTGTTTACAGTTATGGTCAAGTGGCTSTGTGGAGGCTATCATTAACTCCCCCCTTCCTAAGATGAATCGTCCCCGATTCACTATTATTTTGAGTTAATACATGTATTTGATCTAAAAGAGCATTATATGTGACTTGTTGCAATTGCACATTTTCTGTTGGTTTGGGAATTTCACAAAATTTTTTGAATTTTAATATT